TGCAAGTGGGCGAGTGCAACTGAAGAGTGCAAATGGGCGAGCGCAAGCGGGTGAATGCAAGTGCATGAGCGCAAATGAGTGAGGGCAGGTGGGCGAGTGCAACTGAATGAGCGCAAGTGAGTGAGTGCAAAAGGGCGAGCGCAAGTGGGTGACTGCAAGTGAATGAGCGCAAGTGAGTGAGTGCAAATGGGTGACTGCAAGTGGGCGAGTGCAACTGAATGAGCGCAAGTGAGTGAGTGCAAATGGGCGAGTGCAAGTGGGTAAATGCAAGTGGATGAGCGCAAGTGAGTGAGTGCAAATGGGCGAGCGCATGTGAATGAGCGCAAGTGAGTGAGCGCAAGTGAGTGAGCGCAAGTGGGCGAGGTGGGTGAGCGAGTAACGCTGTAATGCTGTAAGTTGAGTCGGTGTGAGACGAGTTGGCGCGAGGTGTGGGCTGAGTGGAGGCGGCGGAAGGCGGACAGCATGCATAGCAACGGTGGGCAACCAACACAAAAAGTTTGATGAACAAAGAAAGGAATGACAAAAAACAAAAAAAGCAACCTCTATTTGAAGGACGCCTTACTGTCTTTTCTCTTTCTGTCTGAGTCTTTTCTCTCTTAAGGCCCTAATCTTGCATCATGTGGACCCATGCGACGCGCGAAACAGAGATTACACCAGCATCAACCCCAAACAACGGCATTTGTTCAGGTGACAGCCATGGCTGACAAGCAGGACAGAGGGGGACAAAGCAGAATCATCTCAGCCCAGCATCCAGAAGGGCAAAGCAGAATCAGCATCTTGGCCCGTTATGCAAGATCTGAGAACCCCTCAGAGCAAAGCTCTTTGGGGAATTAGAATCTCCTAGTACGCGAGCGCCCGAACACTTTCCGAAACTACCCAGCAAACTACCAGTAGCACCTGCCAGCACATGCTATTTCGATAGGCACTAGCGATTGGCACCATTGAATTTCAACGAGTGTTTGACACAGGCTGCAATTTACTGTAAACTGGTTCATTGTCCTTTCTTTGGCTGCGATTACTCGCTCAGGCTTTTCAAGAGCATTTCAGAGTGGGAGAAGAGAACGAGAACAAAATAAGAAGCAAGAGTTGACAAACATCGAGAAAGAATAGAAGAAAAGAAGCAACAAAGAGGAAAGAAACAAAAAAGGAGAGACACAGAGAGAGAGAGAGAGGGAGAGAGAGAGAGAGAGAGAAGAGAGAGAGAGAGATGTACACGTAGTCCAGGGCCCAGGGGACGAAATCATATGGGAAGGGGGAATCATCAGGGGGTTGTGGGTAATTCAGGCTAAATAGCTGCAGTAACAAAGAAAATATATGAAGTGATGGCAAAGGGTCGACAACATACATCTAGGTACAAGCCAGGGGAGTGGAAGGAAAGAACAACCTGGTGTAAAGTGAGGGCAAGTGTTTCAATCCGCGGCGCCGCAGATATGCAGGGTGAAACCGACAGGATCACCGAGACCAGGGGAAGCACGTACGGCCTCCAACTAAGGAGAGAGCTGTCAGTTCTGGTCCTCATTGGTAGGGCAGTAAGGAGGTGGTCACGTCAAAGACATGGATCCCGAATCCGGAACGGGACCTCCGCTCCTGCAACAGGAGGAGAGATGGGTAGGTCGGCACCAACTTGGGTCGAAGGTCCGGCAGCCTGAGATGATTCTGGGGGTCGGCTATGATCTGTGGCTGCATATAGCTCGGTAGCTGGTCAAGTTGTGAACCAGGCCGTCAATCATGTCATGTGGTTGATCAGGAGAGCCAAATGGAAAAGGAAATGGCGGGTCAAATTCCAATCCGTGCAAAAACATTAGGTAGTTCATCGCAATGGGGAAACTCCCTAGGCCAAGAGGAAAACTCAAAGTGGAAAGGACCAAAGAGAGGGCATTCTTTTGAAATCGAAGCAAGTCGAAGACATGTGTGAGACGTCCGAACTAGCGCGGGTTCAGACGTGAACGAGAACGAGAGCGTCTGAGGCGCCGCTGGGGCCGGAGCGGGGACGAGGCCCCGCAGGACGGAAGCCATGTAAAGGTCGTGGCCCCGTGTGGAGGAGTCATCGTCGAAGAGGAGGGAGGACGGGCATCTGGTCGGGGACAGGTTGGGGGATGCGATGGTCTCGAAAAGAAGTGAAACCACGTAGTTCAGCTTCCAATTGATTCGTGTCAAAATCTAAAGTACGGATCGGTGGTCATCAACTCATGTGTGTAGTGCAAAGCAGTGTGAGTGACCTGCGTCGCCTGTCGAATGGCAGAATCCAAACCACGAAGCTGTACTTGAAGATGAGGAGAGGTAACTCTCTCCAAGAAGGGAGGGGAGAGGATCGCCAAGCGGGTGTGAAGAATCGCGAGGATGAGGTCCAAAGGGGCGTGTACATGAAAAATCTCACGAGCCACCATAGGGATGCCCTCCATCCGCGCCAAGCCAGCGGGTGAGGGGGGACATGGCGGGAATAGGTGGGGAGGAACTCATCACTCTAAGGCTCGGCGAACCTCAAAAAGCTTTGGTCGCTCTGACCAAGTTGAGGCGTTAAGCCAGCTTGGACCGCTGCGGTCACATAAAGGCATGAGCCAGCTTGGAATTCAACACTTCAGCAAATCTTGGCAAATAACTTTGGCATAAGCCTCCTGCTGTCCGGACACCTCCGTTCACGAGCAAGGGGAACAGTCGACAAACGCCCGTTCAACGGGTCCACAGGGGCCACTCTGCGGGGTCACCCTGGGCTCTCACTAGGAGAGACACACTTATAGAAATGCGTACTGACTTGACAGCGGTGCCACACGCCACCCTAGGTTACCGTTTCCTAAGAGTACAGGTAAGAACCATCGAAGCCTGGGGTCTGCAAAAGGAAGAGAGGCTCAAAGCGCAAGAAACAAATCGACGATCACGGGTCGAGCAGGATGACGGCGTATCGTGCAGGACTGCCGATGCATTAGCGCTTTACCAAATGTTAAAATTTGCAGGTACGTCCAGCTGGCCAAGCCGGATATCCCACCAGATTGCATAGCTTTGTTAGACACGGTCTGCAATCTGGTGCCATGTCCCCCTGCTGAACAAAGGAAAAAAAGAACAAAAGCGCAATCCGAATGGATCCCTGTGACTACAAGGGGCACACACACAGATATATATATATATATATATGTATATCTATATATATACACACAGGCTACACACACACACACGTAGATATGTATATGTATATATATATATGTTTGTTGTGACTTCTGGTGCTGAAAGAACTGCGGAGCCTTTTCTTCTCCGCCCTGACAAGAGTGAGGACACGAAGCGCTCGAAAGTGGTCAAAGTTGGAGTGACCACAAAGCTTCATCCATCCGCTCCCAAGCGTTGAGAGGCCCTCAGGGCCAATGGGAGGGACAGAGTAGGGAGGGTCATGCTTGACCGCCGAAGTCGAAAAAACATCTGGTCATGTTTGTTGTGACTTCTGGTGCTGAAAGAACTGCGGAGCCTTTTCTTCTCCGCCCTGACAAGAGTGAGGAAACGAAGCGCTCGAAAGTGGTCAAAGTTGGAGTGACCACAAAG